TGAGTAAATGTTTGGCGAAGTTACGGAATACGTAATTGTAAATGAAAAATATTAATAGTGTGTAAGTGTGAGAGTAAGGTAAAGAAAAATTATCGGAGGTTAGCATATCCACATACAATCAGCTTGATCAGCTGAGAGTTTGAAAAACCTAATAACCGATAAATTTTTTAAGGTTGTTTGGACACGATTAAATGCGGAATAAGTTTCAATGTGTTGTTAGTGAGGTAAATTAGAATTTATTATGAATTGTATAAGAATATTATTCATAATATTAATGATGTAAATACGCGAGCCGTGTACGTGAAAATTATGGTACCAATAAATAATGATTAATAAATACTATAAATGTAAAGAAATAAATATAAATATAACAAAAGTTGACCTATAAAAATAAGTAATAGAGAGATACGGGAACGTCCATCACTGGTAAAGCATATTATAGTCCTCGAGCAGGGTATGTTTCCATGATTGGATGATAAAATTGGAAGTAACAGGTACTAGGGAACAATACCTTCGGTACAAGTAAGATGTGAACGAGTTTACTCATATTAGTACTGATGGGGACCAGAGAAGTCTTAAATTTGTTACCCTTAATAATGGTACATAGAGGTCATATCATTCGTTGGATCATAGTGAGAACTTAGTTTTCCTCCGTGACAATTGTTGGAGTCTTTTAATATGACTTTAAGTCACAACCTTGAGGGCTACGTTTACGTAGACCTCAAGGTTATGCGCACAACCTAAGGTACACTTTTATCTTAATATAGTATGAAAAAAAAGTTTATGTACCAATAAAATGAAATAAATGTAGTGAAAATGTTATACAATATATATATAATATACAATACCCAAATAAATGAGGCCCTAATTTATAAAGTACCCGTGTGATAAATATCACGAAATAAAATATAAATGAAATGAATTAATACTCCGATTCCCGGTATCTAAATAATAAATAAATATATAAGTGAATAGAGAAATAAAGATAGCTAAAGGTAAAAAAAAATCAAGAAAAAAGTACGTAGTATTTTTAAATTATGTAGTAATTATGAAAAAAAAAAAAGATAATAAAAAGGCCTAACAATCGAAAATAAGGAATGAGATGAAAAGTTTGAATAAATGTATAATAGCAGAGTATTTTAAAATATAAATGAATGTACAACTATACAAGATCTACGCGAATTACCTAATTATGTCAAATAAGTATGTTGTATGTATGCATGATATATCATACCAATTCTATTGTGACCTTGAAATTACTATGGTGTAGAGGGATCTGGCCACCCGAACTACCCATAGAATATACCTATATTTTGTTTTTGTAATTTATATTTAGTTCATATAATATATAATTACATTGTATTTTTTTAATTAACATTAATAATAAACATGTTTTATATTTATTATTATAAGTTAAAAAAAGAAATGTATTCATTTATTTTTTTGTCGGTGGGAGGTGTAGTGTAGTATAGGCCTCGCGACTATATATATATCAGTGTTAAGGTAGAATAAGATCAGTATAATTAAAGTTCTTGTACAAGCAATACGTCTCTATTTCATTGACTTATTTCCTATATCACACAATCTAGAAGTTTTTCGGATTAATATCTACTACACAAGGTACTAAAATAGCCTACATCCCACCTGGTATTGCTCGATATCTACTTGTAAAGTTTAATCACAATCGATTCAGACATTCTTGAGATTAGCCCAGACAGACAGACAAAAAAGGCTCGTAGGCAGACAGGCAAAAAATTTAACAATGTTTATTTATGTCTTTATGGTATGCAAATAACTGAGCCCGAGCATAAAATAGACCGTTTATTTCAAAATTACTTCAATTTTATTTATATGTTTAGATAGATATAGATATAGATATTATATAGATAAAATATCGAGGCTTATATAAGTTAATTTTACTAACGAAAAACTAATTTTTATAATTCTGCCTGCAGAGACATAGTGGCAGGAGGTGATGCCCAGATGTCCGGGTCTGGGTATTGGTATAATGTAACTATCATTTCTTTGGCTTCTGCATCAATTGCCTCTCTCATATGCTTTTACTTATATGATGATAGTCTTCAGATGAAATGGATTAAAAAACACATTAATTTAAGATATATAAAGTATTACAGATCTCTTAGGGATGACTACATATTTGTGCCACTTGCTGTAGAGATTATCATTCCGTGGGGTACACGTGCGGTGAGGTTCCCAAAGGAACTCCATCTGCGCCTGGTCGTTGTTGCTGGTGATAAGAAGGCTGACTCTTTTCTCGCTAATTATAGCCATTCAGCGGGGAAACGCAGCCAGCGTTCTTGGCACGATACCGTGGGGAGTAGGACTATATGATTATTAAGTTACTAGTTTTAGTTTGTTTTTTATTATAGTTTTTAATACTGTAAACTGTAAAAAAAATCGTACATATTATTATCGTGTTTATTTTGTTTCAGTTTAATAATAGAGGCAAGTTTCTTTATTTCTGGTTTCTTAATATGTTTTTCAATAGCTGTTTTGGCCAAATATAGGCATTTGAAACGCCATCCAATCGCGTTCGACTTAGTGCATCGCCGGATAGTGTGAGGTAACGTGCGGTCGCCGGGGGGGGGGGGGGGGGCAGCAGCGGTATGCAGCTTCCCGGCGTTCGGTGCTCGTGGGCGAGACACAGTAGCTTGAGTGCAGCGGCGCGGTCGATTAACGTTTTTGGTAGTGACCGCTGCAGCGGTTCGCGCGACCAGTTTTGGTTTTGGTCTAGATTTTAAGTATTTGTGCGCGTTTAATTCGCTAATGAATTATTTGTGGTTTCGTGAAGACCGCCTCGGATTAGTTTGTCTACGTTGTACGTTCGTGACAAGAGGCTTATATTGAATTTGAGTGATTAGAGTAATTTCGTTGCAATTGTACCGTCGCGTTAAGAGCCTTTTGTGTGTTGACTCTTTAGTTACTTTGCATGTCAGCAAGGCGGATTTTGAATTCTTAATGCGGGCGTAGTATTCAATATCGTACGAAGAAATTTAGTTGTTTGTAACGCTGAACTTTGTGACTCGTGAAGAGATCGCGTTAGTTCCCTATTTGTAATTTGGTGATAAATGAATTCGGAACATTGAATATTGAACTTTGAACTACTGTTCGTTACTTGTGTCGGGTATCACGTGTTTGATTTTACGATGAACGTTGAATTAGTTGATTTGAAGTTAGTTAAATGTACAATAAAGTTGATAGACTGAAATAGTGACATGAAGAAAGAAGTTGTGACTTGGTGACGCCTGCTGGAGTGATGCAGCATTGTGGGGCAGCATGGGACCAGGCCGCTGCCCGGTCACCTCAGCTGGGTCAGGTCACATAAATAAACAATACTACACACCACTTTACATGCACCTACACCTACCTACGGCCTGACCGAGCCTTGGGGTGGTCTTAGCTTCGGATCCAGGTACGTACTATATATTTACCTAGCCTTATTTCTATTGTGTAGTATGATAGGTCAACTGTCCATAGGCCGTTGGGCCCCATCCTTAGTTGTCCGTCGAATCTACCGCTGATGGGCCCCGGGACATTTGACCTTTGTAGGGGCAGCTAGGGACGCGTGTACAATAGGGGCCTTTGACACTCGTAGCATCTTTGTTACTTTTATTATCTATTGTTATTTATCGTAATTAAAAAAACGACTAGCACTTATTAAAATATTTTTTCAGTTTTATAAGAAAACTAGCGATCCGCCCCGGCTTCGCACCTTTGATTTCTGGATCACAACAACAACGCTATCTACTAGATCAATTGTGAATCTAATCCATTCTCTTATCAATTTAATTATATGCACAAAATTTCATCAAATTCGGTCTCGCCGTATAAGAGGAATTCAGTCACATACATACACACGTACAGAAGTATTATACAAAATATAATGTGCATATATACTTAAAATAATTTACGTTACTATACATATAAACTTTTCCCTTAAAACGTTCTATCTATTTATTGAAACTGCATCAAAATCCTTTGCCTAGTTTCAAAAATATAAGTGTACAGACGACAGTTTATACTATGTAGAAAAAAGTTGTTTTTATACCGATGAAAGGTCACTGTTAGAAAAAGACTCTCCGGTTGGAAGATCATTCGGAGGATTGACCTTAATCGCCAATAGCGCGTATTGAAGCTTTCAGTTTAAAAAAATTACACCGCCATCTACCGGAACCCGTTAGATTTATTACACCGTCATCTACCGCAACGTATGGGATTTTTCTGGAATTTCCCATACTCGCCTCTTACAATACCCACGGTACGAAATGGGCTAAATAATTCTCTTCCGCAGCCACCATACAGAATAGTATACAATAGATAAGAATAATTTTTATTGCAAGTTTTTTACAATTACCCCTGATTCGAAAAATAACTTCTGTCCTGGAAATATCAGCAAAACTTTTCTTTTTTCAAAGTGAAATTATACAATAAAATAGATTTTTTTTTAACGTTACCCCCACACTAGGATTTTCTCCTGTGTCGTGGAGGCAGTTTAAGAACATAAATTGCACAAGAACAAACATCCAGACCCGGAACAATTATTTGTAGGCTATACAAATTCTTGTTCCGTGCGGGATTCGAACTCGCGGCCCCCAGCGCAACAACTGATTGCTAAGCCACTGCGCCACGGAGCCGTCATTTTTGATTGTTTAAACTACTACCAAAACTTATTTAAGAACCATCTTATAAGCGACCACCTCATTCCCAGAGTTTATTATCAACCTTTTATTTATAAATAACCCCTGTTCGTACAGTTTTTGTTTATTAAAATATTTAAACTTGGTGATAGAGAAAAGTTGTATATATTCTGGGACGTTGTTGTAATTTACAGGGTTATTTTGCAATAACCAGCCAATTTTGCAGAGAAATTAGTAACATAACAATAACAATTTTGAACAAAAAATTTATTAAATAAATTACTTCACCGTTTAATATTTATTAATATAATATTTATTTTACGCAAACCACAGTTCATTTTATCATCCAACACCATTACCACTGTATTTAAATAAATATTCACCTATCTTAGGGTATAACATTTCTCTCGTATGTTGACTATACGGCACGTCAAAGTGATTCCACAGTGGGTTTTTAACGTATACCACTTCAAGCACATTCGGTAACTGATCTTTTAACCATTCTACGTCCTTTTTGGATACAATATTATCACTTTCACCATGAATGATTACTACAGGAGCCGTTGTGGCATTACAGTTATATGTTGAAGGCTGATTTCTGCCGTAAATTTTCATGTTCATCACAGGTCCGTAATCGAAATTCTGGAATTCCTCCTTATTTAAAACTTGGCTGAACCACGCCATAACCCTGACAGATGTCCCCGCAGGGAAATGTCCAGTTAAGGCACGAATGGTTGACACTGAAATTGAGCCAGGATTATAGGAATCCAGCATGGTTAAAATGGACCTACATATTTTATCTGCAATGAAATCATTTTGACAAATATCATGCGTGATCTTCTGAATGTATCCACCTTTTGGCAATGCTTCTAATTCTAGAGGATTATGGAGAATAGGTTCTAATATTTGATAGACATCAGTAATTATTCTAAGGGCTTGTGATTTAGCATTTGTCATTTTTGCTGCGGGATGCAAAAAAATAGCGACGCTGACTTTTGCGCAGTATCCTGGTCTTTCGGAGCACATAATAACGAACGACCCGCCACTTTGTGAGTATCCAATATAATTTAACTTTATAGATCTGGTGTAATCTAGAATGTAATCAATAATAGCTGGCAAATCATAAACACCGAATTCATTCAATGAAAATTTCCAGAATTCAGGATCAACGTCAGGATTCATTCTTGTATGATTCCTAGAGTAGTAGTTTCCTCGTACATTGCCTGCCCATAGATCATAGCAGTCGTCAGATATCAGGTATGCTAATCCAGCTTCAGGGCCTGAATCAATCCAGCTGTCTGAACTTAAGAGCAGGCCGTGCATAATTAACACTGGAGTCCTTTGTACTGTGAAGTGGCAATTCTTTCCCTTTGGTATCCTGAATAGAGTCAAAACATATCCATCTTCGGTTATCACAGTGTGTTCTTCAGATTTATAACCATACTCTTTAGAAACTTCTGTAAAGTTAAGCAAGGAAAGTCTCTCATATCTGATATCCTTGTGGAATAATTTTCGGAATCCACCATTAACCATTTGTATTGTTGTATTTAATAATAAAATGTAATATATCCAAAACGTTCTCTGTGCCATGTTTTGTTTAACAATCATTTTACTTTTGCGGACGCATATATACCCGTAATAGTTCAATGTATAATAACTGTAGGCTCTTATAATATCAATTAGATATCCATAAGATATTCATTCAGATAAAATATAAAAAAGCAATCACTTGTACATACAATGTACTTACATTTTTTTAATAAATTTCTTTATTATAAAACACATTAAACTTATTCAAACTAGCCTTATATACGAGATTCTTGTTTGCTTAACCCTAGCGAATTAGGTGTTATGTCGATTACCTTCTGCGAAATCTCTTTTTATTACCTTCATTCAAGGATTTATAAAACTAGTTTTGACTGCGTATTTTTTTGGTATTTAATTTCCGCTGTCAATTCTTAATTTACTTAAGAGACATTCTTTTACCAAAGTAGAAAAAAATTAAGTATTCTTTCAATATATGCCTTATTTGCAGGCTAAAAATTATAACATATAATATATATTTGAATGACTTCTTCCTTTGTGTACATTAACACCATACCCATCGTACAAAAAGTTTTAAAAGGAATTTTCAGTGTCTTATCTGTCCAAGTATCTATTTTTTTAGCCAAAGTAAATTACTATCACACTACCTATATCTTTAGTTCTTTTCATTCCACTTTTAAAAGAATAAGTAAAAATAAGTTATTATTAAAATAAACTATACGCGATAAAATTCGTTAAATTACTTTTATTCATCGTATAGTATTCAAGTAAATATAAGAAATCATTAACCTGCAGTATATTGTATTACGAAAAAATCCGCGCTAACACTATACGGAAATACACCTATCTAAAAGTATAATTTTATTTTTAAATTCTATCACAAAACATACGTTTTTGTAATTTATTGTTTTACATTTAAGTTAAATAATTTTGTTGAGTGTAAGTATAAATCTGTTTTATGACTCATTTAAATAATGTGACTTTTAAAAAGTTTTCATTTAATTAACATAGCGTTGGTATTACCGTATATATTAAGGTGTTTGCGGCCGATCCGTGTTATTGTTTATTTGGTATTGGACTCATGCTGTAGTCCTTTTGCCAGTGTCAAGTGTATTAAGAAATTATCTTTTAAAATAATTTGTTTCAAAACCTCACAATATGTTGATGCGTCACATTGTGAAGTCTTTGGGAGATTTTAGCGGCAGCTTGAGTCAGCAGACAGTCGATGATGATATTATATCAATGAGCCTAATCAGAACCTTATCTTGAGATTAACATCACCATCGAAACACTTATTTTATTTTCTCCACGAATAGTTTATGCGCAGATATTTTATACACAAAATCGCACCTTTTTTACGTATAAATATCTACTTAAACCATTATTTAAACTATAAACAGGAGCAGCAATCCACCACCGCGGTCTAGTTCCCACTGAAGCTCCAACCGACACGTTTTCATTGGTATTTATGTACGTTGTAGAAACAATTTTATTTTTTAACAACTATATTTTACTAATAAATGACTGTTGACAAGTAAAGCAAAAATAGTACAACGGAAAATAAAAATATGTAAATACCCCCGATTTTATCCGATTTATCATTCCTCATCATTACATTTTGCTTTACAAGTCCACTACTGAATATCTTATGCTCAGCGTGGATTTGCGAAGGGCTGTAACCGATCATCATCATCATTACCCTTCACAAGTCCCTGAACACGGTTTTAACGGTGGTAGAGCCACGCAGCAGTTTTTGCTGTTGCACGTATGGGCCGGCTCGAGCCGAGTTGGTATCACGACCTCACAGAATACCGGCGTGAAGTAGAAGCTCTGCTTCTGCGTTTCGTCTGGTGAGTGCAAGAGGCCGGAGGCCCAAACCCCCCGTCAACATGGTAGCGGAATTACAAGAAAGACTACCCCAGGAGGGTACCAGTACCCTGGAGAATCCCTCGCTGAGCATCCACGACCATGTTATTCCACTCCTGAGCGTGGGTGCTCAGGTTGCCCCGCGTATTGTGGGGGGGGGGACAAAATTCTGCTGCTCGGGGCAAACTGAGCAACAATACCAAGGCGACCCCTGCCACGCTATCCGTGAATTTCTGCAACATCAGGGGACTTCACTCGAACCTAAACGCCGTCCACTACCATCACGAGACGGCGAAACCGGCCTTGTTCTTTCTGACCGAGACGCAGGTTTCCTCTCCGGCTGATATTTCGTATCTCTCTTACGCGGGGTACAAATTTGAGCACTCCTTTGTGCATCGGGCTGGAGTTTGCGTGTATGTCAGAGAGGACATCTGTTCTCGACGCCTCGGCAGTCTTGAAGGTTCGGACTTGTTCATCCTTTGGCTACGCGTGGACAGCGACGACCATCCGCGCGTCTACGGGTGCCTCTATAGGTCCCATAGCGGTAATGCCGAAACAGACCGACTCATCGACCACGTCCAAATGGCTACAGATTCCTTGCTACAACAGATCCCATCCGCAGAGATCGTGATCCTTGGCGATTTTAACGCCCACCACGCCAAATGGCTCGGTTCACGTTTAACCGATCATACGGGGAGATCTATTTATGACTTTGCCTTGGCATATGGTCTGACACAACTGGTTATTCGCCTACGCGGATTCCAGATGTGAAGGATCATACACCTTCCCTGTTGGACCTCTCATGCGGACTCTCGGCTCTTCGGACCATTGTCTGATCCGGAGTGTGGTGCCACTCACGCTCCCCTCGCGGTTGCGTTATGCAGGTTGCCGCCGTGTTTGGCATTACAGGTCGGCGGATTGGGACGGAATACGGTCTTCATTTGCATCCTACCCATGGGGGCGGGTTTGCTTCTCGCCGGATGATCCCAGCGCTGTTGCTGACTCTGTCACTGATGTGGTGCTACAGGGAATGGAACTATTTATTCCATCATCTGTGGTACCCACCGGAGGCAGATCTCAGCCTTGGTTTGGTCGCTCCTGTAAGACTGCATTACGCAGTAAGCAGGAGTGTTATCAAGCCTGGGCTGCGGCTTCGCCGACTCGGGATGTAAATACCAACACAATTAAAAAGAAGTATAACTTCGCCTCCAGGTCCTTCAAAAGAGTTATTGCCAAGGAAAGTCAGAGTACATAGGCAGAATTGGCGAGAAACTAGTTCGCCTTCCTTCGGGAACCCGTTCATTCTGGTCTCTCGCCAAGGCTGTCCAAGGGAATTTATGTAAGCCATCACTGCCATCTCTGCACAGGAAGGACGACTCACAGGCCTAAGCCGCAAAAGACGCAAAAAGGGAGCCTGAAAGGTCAGGCTCCCTTTTTGCGTCCAACTCGATCTTGATGACGGGGGGAAAACACCGCCGACCATCCCACGGTGTGAGTGCTCCATGCCGCATGTGCTGTTCTCACAGCGCTCGGTTCCCAAAGCACTCCTCTCCCTGGACATCCAGAAGTCGAGTGGACCTGACGGAATCCCCCCAATTGTGCTGAGGACGTGTGCTCCGGAGTTGGCACCGGTTATAACGCGTCTTTTCCGGTACTCCTACTCCCTAGGCGTAGTCCCGAAATCATGGAAGACAGCTTTTGTCCACCCGATCCCTAAAAAATGCGACCGCTCAGACCCGTCCAACTACAGGCCTATCGCCATCACCCCCTTGTTCACCAAAATAATGGAATCCGTTATAAACTGCCACCTCATGCGGTACCTTGAGGGTCACCAGCTGATTAGTGACCGCCAGTACGGTTTTCGTCGGGGTCGATCAGCTGGTGATCTTCTGGTCTACTTAACTCATAGATGGGCGGAGGCAGTATAGTCCAAGGGGGAGGCATTAGCCGTTAGTTTGGACATTGCGAAGGCCTTCGATCGGGTTTGGCACAAAGCGCTTCTTTCGAAGCTCCCTTTCTATGGGATTTACGAGAAATTGTGCAGTTGGATCACCAGCTTCGTGCATGCTCCGACTACAAACCTATTAATGCTGGTGTTCCTCAAGACTGTGTGCTATCAACAACGCTGTTTCTTCTGCATATCATTGATATGTTGCTAACTGATAACATTCATTGCTATGCGGATGACAGCACTGGTGATGCCCTATACATCGGCCGTGCCAATATTTCTCGGGAAAACGTCGCAGAGTAACGGAACAAACTTGTGTCTGAAGTCGAGTCTTTGCTGAACAAAGTCTCGGATTGGGGCCGACTATATCTAGTCCAGTTTAATCCTCAGAAGACACAAGTTTGCACGTTTACCGCTAAAAAGAACCCCTTTGTCGTATTTCCTCAGTTTCAAGGCACTCCCCTTCTTGCCTCAGCCAGTATCGGAATCCTCGGAGCTGACATATCGAGTGACGTGTAGTTTCGTAGTCACTTGGAAGAGAAGGCCAAATTAACCTCTAAAAAGCTTGGTGCTGTCGATTTTTCTGGTTATATGTCCGTCTGATTGCCACTTCAACTTACTAATCTGTTGGGATATGTCGGTAACTCTGGTTCTGGATATTCCCATTTTTAAGTATATCACGCAGAGAAAACCCGATCTAGCCCTCTCCATAGTTCGCTGAGTGATCTTGAGCCTCCTCATACGGCCAGCAGTGATGGACCACGTCTCAGATCCTAATGTCATCACTGGCAAGACGATCTGGTTGTAATAAAATCTCATTTTTAAGTTTTGAGTTATACCTCAATGTATACCTATAACGGATAATGAAAAATATTTCAAAATTACAGCCTTTATAAGACCCGCAGCTGAGCGCAGGCCTTCTTTTATTTCTGAGAGGGTTTTGAGGCAAGGAATTGCCGCCGCGTTGCCATAATACATTCGCGGACTTTACATCTTCTCTATAATTATCCAGTAAAATGGATCTTCAGTTCTCTACAGCTACCATACAAAAATAGCAGCATTAAGCTGCTACTTTACGCTGGTATTCAGTGAGAGCACGATCCTTCACCGGTCGAGTCGACCCATTCGTGCTACAAACATGTAGCTGCTGAATAGCTTTACCATTTTTTTTTGCACATACATGAAGTTATCGTAAATAGGCTAAGATGCCGAAGATGATATTTTTTTTTTT